GTTGGTAACATGTACAAGTTCTATATGACAGTAATAGAAGTAATTCTCTGTTGGTAACATGTACAAGTTCTATATGACAGTAATAGAAGTAATTCTCTGTTGGTAACATGTACAAGTTCTATATGACAGTAATAGAAGTAATTCTCTGTTGGTAACATGTACAAGTTCTATATGACAGTAATAGAAGTAATTCTCTGTTGGTAACATGTACAAGTTCTATATGACAGTAATAGAAGTAATTCTCTGTTGGTAACATGTACAAGTTCTATATGACAGTAATAGAAGTAATTCTCTGTTGGTAACATGTACAAGTTCTATATGACAGTAATAGAAGTAATTCTCTGTTGGTAACATGTACAAGTTCTATATGACAGTAATAGAAGTAATTCTCTGTTGGTAACATGTACAAGTTCTATATGACAGTAATAGAAGTAATTCTCTGTTGGTAACATGTACAAGTTCTATATGACAGTAATAGAAGTAATTCTCTGTTGGTAACATGTACAAGTTCTATATGACAGTAATAGAAGTAATTCTCTGTTGGTAACATGTACAAGTTCTATATGACAGTAATAGAAGTAATTCTCTGTTGGTAACATGTACAAGTTCTATATGACAGTAATAGAAGTAATTCTCTGTTGGTAACATGTACAAGTTCTATATGACAGTAATAGAAGTAATTCTCTGTTGGTAACATGTACAAGTTCTATATGACAGTAATAGAAGTAATTCTCTGTTGGTAACATGTACAAGTTCTATATGACAGTAATAGAAGTAATTCTCTGTTGGTAACATGTACAAGTTCTATATGACAGTAATAGAAGTAATTCTCTGTTGGTAACATGTACAAGTTCTATATGACAGTAATAGAAGTAATTCTCTGTTGGTAACATGTACAAGTTCTATATGACAGTAATAGAAGTAATTCTCTGTTGGTAACATGTACAAGTTCTATATGACAGTAATAGAAGTAATTCACTGTTGGTAACATGTACAAGTTCTATATGACAGTAATAGAAGTAATTCACTGTTGGTAACATGTACAAGTTCTATATGACAGTAATAGAAGTAAATCTCTGTTGGTAACATGTACAAGTTCTATATGACAGTAATAGAGGTAAATCTCTGTTGGTAACATGTATATGTCTAGATGATGATAATGAAGTAATGATTTATTGGTAAAACGTATATTTATTTCAAATTGGATTGACATGTACATATATTCTTCTGAAGTATATTAGATGTCAATCAATAGTCAGCACAATGCTGATGGCTTCGGACTTGTCATGGAATCTTGTGTCTAATTAGCGATCTACACCATATTAAAACTGATATCGTGGCAGATTGGCCTATACGTGGATTAGGCAGTGATGAAGCTTCCCTTGTACCTTTGTCGGGGCGCGTGTCGCCAACCACTGGCTCTGAATTAGATTGTATCTTCCTAGTCTAGACGTGACAAAAGGTGGGGACCAGTGTCACACTCCGGTCGTGGAAGTAGTGGTTTCTCTCCATGCTGTGGAATGTAGGTTATGGCGTACTTATCATGGCGAGGCTGTTGATGTCCTTTTAAGACTTTAATGCCCCCAGCCGGGAAATGTCTCCTACGTGACAACAAATAGGTCCATCTATTTATTCTTGCCAGTCGAAGGGCATGTTACAACTGCCACCTTATTTTATCCACAAATGGATGTCGCATTGTTACTCTGATGCATTGTTTTTTAGTGGAATTGGTTTTCAGAAATGTTATGGTATTTGCTAATTATTACTCACAATTTATAGCTAAAGCTGGGACTGAAACTCTTTACTTCGAAAAATAAAATATTTTGTTCAATCTCAGATTTTTTTTATTTATATGCTTCAGGTTCCTCAGGTTTAACTATAGTAATCCTTTCTACTTACACATCAATACAGAAACATGAAATAAAAGATTAATTTTATTTTTAGGTCACCTGAGCTTTGCTCAAGTGACCTATTCATATCACTTTCCGTCCGTCGTCCGTCAACTTTTTACATTATCAACTTCTTCTCAAGAACCAGTGGATGGAATTTTTTCAAACTTGGTCAGAATCATCCTTGGTACATGAGGCTACCAAATTGTAAAATTGGGATTCCTACCCCAACCCTAGGGGCCAGGGCGGGGCCCAAAAGGGAAAATTAACCAATATTTCAAAAATCTTCTTCTCCAGACTCAGAGGTATAACAACCATTTTCTCTGTATGGATGGAAACATCATCAGGGGCTTTATTTAAATTGTAAATTTCAGGACCCCAGAGCTATTCGTTCTCCCTTGGGGAGGCTGTAAAGTTTACTATAGTTTATATAGGGAAACAACACTTTTGGGTATATTTTGACAATTTTCTGTTGGAAATTATTTTTACTTGGTGAGAATTATCCTTGGAGGAGGAAGATGGTTTTAAATTGTAAAATTGGGATTCCTACCCCAACCCTAGGGGCCAGGGCGGGGCCCAAAAGGGAAAATTAACCAATATTTCAAAAATCTTCTTCTCCAGACTCAGAGGTATTACAATCATTTTCTCAGTATGGATGGAAACATCATCAGGGGCTTTATTTAAATTGTAAATTTCAGGACCCCCGAGCCATCCGTTCTCTCTTGGGGAAGCGGTAAAATTTACTATAGTTTATATAGGGAAACAACACTTTTGGGTATATTTTGACAATTTTCTGTTGGAAATTATTTTTACTTGGTCATGCAGAATCCTCTTTGGTGGACGACGGTATCACATTGTAAACTTGGAATTCCTGCCCCATCCCCAGGGGTTAGAGTGGGGCCCCAAAGGGAACATTTTCAAATATTTTAAAATTCTTATCCTTTGATGACATGACAAGTATTGTATTTCACTTAGTTTACATGCTGATTTCCACATCACATCTAAACAATAAAATAAAGCTACCAGTACCTATGATATAACTCAGGTGACCGCTAAGGCCCTTGGGCCTCTTGTATTTTTTCTTATTGAAACTAATCCATCACCGAATTATTGAAAACAGAATCGGTGTGAACTACATGTTACTGGTGTTTTAAAATGAATCTTGAACAGCCATAATAAACACCATGTCTGGCTGGAAGGCTGTATGTGATTCATCCATTTCAAGGTTAAAGCTGTCCAACGCTGGTCGTCGGATTTTTCGTAACCGTACATTGTCTAATTGTTACATCATAGAAACGAAACATGGAATCCAAGGTTTGTTGGAAGCTTGAATCAGATTTCAAATTTCCTCTTTTATTTTCATGCAGAGTTTGGTGAAAACCTGGTTCTTGCCACCTTTCCCATGTCAACCAAAATCAAATTTACTTCTAAATTCTATTCGAGTTGATAGATATGCAGAGGCAGTGTTTCCATCATGGTAATTCAATCAGTTTCTCACGTAATTCGTTTAGTTTCAATATTTCAAGCGAACTCATCAGCCCGATGAAACGTAATTGTACAATTACTGTTGAAACATTTGATGCACATACAACCAGTAGTGTGTACCAAGTTTCCATCAATATCATTTCAATAAATGGATTAAAGTTTTAAGCTTCAAGGATGCAGAATTAAGCACATTTAAAGAACAAGTTGTTTCCATTAATGCATTTTAAAACACACCACTCCTGGGGTTCGATGAATGGATGAGTTTGTAGAGGATGCCGATCTTTTTTGTGTGTATTCGTACCAATCTTTGTGTCGACGAGGATGAGTGTCTCGTGACACCAGAGAGAGGCCTTTGTCACTTCCTGTTGGTGGATACGAAACTTATCTGACATTTTTCCCGATTTCATTCGTCACTTTCCTGAAATTGGACACTTTTTCTATCTACAATGGAATTGAAATTCAAGATTGTTTGGTGGCAACTTGATTAAATGTATTAAAGATTTGGAATATTGCCTCGATTATTTTTAAAGCTTGTGAAGATTATTATTACGAACAGGAGATAGGTATGAAGAGTTAGTCAATTTTGTTACAATATTTCTGGTGAATGAACCAGTAAAGAATGAAACAACAGAAGAAATTAATTTTACGCTAGATTACTCACGGATATGAAAACAACATTTTGGACAGCTAACTTTTGAATTGATCTGCAAAATGTTCATCACTGAATTATAATAAGATCAGCTGTTCTGATTGAGGTCAAAGAAAATGTAGGTTAAACATGTAGTGAACAGAAATGTTAAATATGCATGCCAGAACTAAGCCTGTCACTTGACTTATTTACTGTTCTGCCTATAAAATGTATGTGTTCCCTGAAGACAATGCAATCTCTCGTCACAGCTGGTCTCTCACAATAGATTCAATCTGATTCCAAATATAAAATGTTGGTCTTTCCAAATCAGGCCTTTTTCAGAAAGATAATATAATATGTTAATAAAAAAAAATCAAAATAATTGTTTGTAGTACTAGAACATGAACTACACACCTGTGATATGTGAATCACCTTGGTTTATGTAAGCTGGGAAACACATACCTAGATACACAGTTAATGTACTCATCAAGCTAACCGATTTTAGGGGAGATTTTCAGTTCTTTAATTTTGAATTCCTTTTACATATTGACCTTCTCCATCGTCGCTTTTTTTTGTACGGATAAACAAGGCTGTTTATTTCTTGTCTATAGTGGTTTCGAATATCAAAAATATTTCACCCCTTCATAATTACAATCATACCTGCCAAATTCTCAGCTTGAACTGAGATCCACAGATTGCCGAAATGCAGGTCAAGCAATTTCAGTATGTAAACTTTTCAAAGGTCATAAAAATCAGTAGTATAGTATAAACTATTATAAATTGCCTTACATGTCTTTTCTTGGAAGCATTTATTATTTAAAGCTTAGAATAGGTGACATTTTCAATGTTGGGATAGCTAGTACAAAGGTAGGAGATTTCCTACTGTACTACAATCTGTGCAGGTCATTGATGTCAGTGACTGCAAGCTTTACCTGTGCGTGACTTTAACGGCAGTTAGGTACAAATAAATGTGTAACCTTTGACCTTTTTTACTTCAGCCAATGCCACGGCTTTATCACAATGGACCAGGGTTTAAATACATCGTTTCCTGGCGACCAAAAGGAAGCACATACTGGAATACCAGAGAAGTTCGTAATTCAAATGCGAAACAGGTGGAAATAGAAGTTACAGACATATACGGCCTTTATGAAGTCATGGTTAAATCGGCCAATGATATTGGAGAGTCTTTCCAACCTCCTTTCATCAGGCTGGGCTATTCTGGGGAAGCAGGTGAGTGCAAAGTTCAAATATTGGTATCATTCAAAAGCATTCAGGGCTGTATTCATGAAACTATTCTCACGCTCAAGCATGGATTCTGTGTTCAAGTCTGATTTCTTGATCCGGTTATAACTTAATATTAAAATCTTATTTTGTCAATGATTTGGAAAAACCTTTAAGAGCCTTTGGGCTGAATACTGTTTTTGATTTTTTCATTTGACTTTTTGATTGTTTGACATGCATTAAGTGAGTTACAAGAAAGTTGGTTTGAGCACAAAATCCATGCTTGAGCATGAGAACGGTTTCATGAATAAGGGCCGAGGTGATAGGCAGTAAAATTTGTAGGCGTGGGCAGACATATATTGTCAGACTGTTGATGTAATAGAATCTACAGTCATTCTAATATACCTCAAAACTGCTGAACTCATATATATGGGACTGAAATAATGTTTGAGCATAAATGGTAAGGAAAACTGTAAATATAGCTAGTAAGGCTTCTGAGGGAAGGGACCGGGTATCTGTTTAGGGAAGGCAGTGTGTTTGACTGCAGTTCAGTAGTTAACCAGATTCTATTGTAGAAGTGTGCACTTAATCTCGAGGCAGCCATTTGTGAAATTCACTGTTTATGAAATAGGATGAAATAAAGAGTGTGCAGTTCTGTTGTTCTAAATATTGTATATTTTATGTCGACCACATGTGAGATGAGTCCTTGACTCAATGTGTTATCAAATTTAGATAAAGCCTATTATTATTATCAGTAAAACCTCCTTATACTGCATCCGTTTATCTAGAAAAAGTGTGCTGTTATAAAGAAGTTTAGTGAGTTTTGGAGGGAAATGAATAAAGGAACTCTTTAAAAATAAAGGAGAAAAAGGGACCTTGAAATATGTTAGCTGTTAAGGAAGTAGCAAATGGAATGAATGGCATTTTATCAAGGTTTATATGTACAAACATTTGGAGGAAATTTAATCAAATGTGTCAAAGCTTAAACAAAATAAAACTAGGCTAATGTTTAAACTTAATTCTCACCCTGATATTAAAATTCTCAATATTACTGATGTTAAAAAAGGTGTTTTTTCTTTTGCAGATCCAATTGTTTCACCAAAAGATTTTCGACTTGATCCAACCCAAAAAATAGAACCGCACACTGCAAATTTTATATGGGAATCAGTTGATACATCAGAGGAAAAAATACGTGGAAAATTTCGAGGATATAAGGTAGCGTTGAAATATCTATGTTAAGTTTTCTTTTTTCTTTTTCTACCACCTATGACCTAATTGCAGAGGGTTAAGACTGGTGTGTGGCTCTGTATGACCTTATTGTAGAGGGTTAACACTTGTGTGGCTCTGTATGACTTTATTGTAGAGGGTTAACACTATTGTGTGGCTCTGTATGACCTTATTGTAAAAGGTTAACACTATTGTGTGGCTCTGTATGACCTTATGGTAGAGGGTTAAGACTGTTGTGTGGCTCTGTATGACCTTATTGTAGAGGGTTAACACTTGTGTGGCTCTGTATGACTTTATTGTAGAGGGTTAACACTATTGTGTGGCTCTGTATGACCTTATTGTAGAATGTTAACACTATTGTGTGGCTCTGTATGACCTTATTGTAAAAGGTTAACACTATTGTGTGGCTCTGTATGACCTTATTGTAGAATGTTAACACTATTGTGTGGCTCTGTATGACCTTATTGTAGAAGGTTAACACTATTGTGTGGCTCTGTATGACCTTATTGTAGTGGATTAAGACTATTGTGTGGCTCTGTATGACTTTATTGTAGAGGGTTAACATTATTGTGTGGCTCTGTATGACTTTATTGTAGAGGGTTAAAATTATTGTGTGGCTCTGTATGACTTTATTGTAGAGGGTTAATACTATTGTGTGGCTCTGTATGTCCTTATTGTAGAAGGTTAACACTATTGGGTGGCTCTGTATGACCTTATTGAAGTGGATTAAGACTATTGTGTGGCGCTGTATGACTTTATTGTAGAGGGTTAACACTCTTATGTGGCTCTGTATGACCTTATTGTAAAAGGTTAACACTATTGTGTGGCTCTGTATGACCTTATGGTAGTTGATTGAGACTATTGTGTGGCTCTGTATGACCTTATGGTAGTGGATTAAGACTATTGTGTGGCTCTGTATGACCTTATTGTAGAAGGTTAACACTATTGTGGCTCTGTATGACCTTATGGTAGAGGGTTAAGACTGTTGTGTGTCTCTGTATGACCTTATTGTAGTGGATTGAGACTATTGTGTGGCTCTGTTTGACCTTATTGTAGAAGGTTAACACTATTGTGGCTCTGTATGACCTTATGGTAGAGGGTTAAGACTGTTGTGTGTCTCTGTATGACCTTATTGTAGTGGATTGAGACTATTGGGTGGCTCTGTATGACCTTATTGTAGAAGGTTAACACTATTGTGGCTCTGTATGACCTTATGGTAGTGGATTAAGACTATTGTGTGGCTCTGTATGACTTTATTGTAGAGGGTTAACACTATTGTTTGGCTCTGTATGACTTTATTGTAGAGGGTTAACACTATTGTGTGGTTCTGTATGACCTTATTGTAGAGGGTTAACACTATTGTGTGGCTCTGTATAACCTTATTGTAGAGAGTTAAGACTATTGTGTGGCTCTGTATGACCTTATTGTAGAGGGTTAAGACTATTGTGTGGCTCTGTATGACCTTATTGTAGAGGGTTAAGACTGGGGTGTGGCTCTGTATGACCTTATTGTAGAGGGTTAAGACTATTGTGTGGCTCTGTATGACCTTATTGTAGAGGGTTAACACTATTGTGTGGCTCTGTAGGACCTTATTGCAGAGACCTTCCACATGTGACTAAATTTGTACTCTTGATCTGGTACATTTGTTATTGTGAGATCGGATTTGACTAAATAATACAATTTTAGTATTTAGTACAATGAAATTCTGTTGTGTGATTTTGTCAGTACATTTTCCTTCCAAGTGCGGCAAACTGAACAATAACACAAAATATTTTAGACACCAATTAATACCTGTCTAAATGGATCTGCCTAATTATGTAACATATCCGACGCTGAACCACAAATGTTATCAGGCATGTCACTTTAATTGGAGCTTCTTTTAGTTTCTCATCAAAATAAGCTTTAAAACTGCAAAATTTTGGAGGGCACTGAATTTATTACCGATTTGTTACAAAACCAACAGCACAAGATGACACATTAATCTCGAAAAACAAGATGAAAACCAGGAGAACATAGCATTCAATTCCGATGCATCTGTGAAATGAACTTTTCAAATTAAAAATCAGCAAAGAAAGATTTCTTCTGAGATATTCATCACAGCACTGTGCCGTGTTTCTCCTGTTGGCCTGATCTAGTCAATGCCATGGAGAAAATTGCTGCCATCGCAAATGTGAATTCGCAATAACTTAGATTTGCAGAAACACCAAACAAAGCTGGTGAATTGGTTTAGAGGATTAGCTGTTATGTTACAAATGGAACGTATTTTAATTTCTGGCTGATATTAAAACCAGTAATTTAGAATTTTATCCCATCAGAAATTTTATAGAAATTGAAAACCGGTCATTTTATAGCATGCTTTTAATGCGCTCAGTTTCTAGGAATTTTTACCGAAAAATGCATCTTGACTATAATTTGTCTTAACATGAAAGTGTCACTGAAGCCTGACAACCCTCAGTAGACAGAAATAGGTGTGTTCCATTAAGATGAACTTTAAGAATTGTCCCTCCTCTTGATAACAATGTACTGGTCCTTTATATAGATCGCCCAAAGAGGCTTAGGCATTTGAACTTTTAACATTTTAAAAATAACTTGGATTCCCCAGATGCCTTTAATTGTTTTGTCATCAGAGCTAAGTGCTGTCAACCTTCTAGGAAAACAATCTTGGAGGAAGGTGTGTTGGCTCAATTTGTTGGAAGACAATGTACAGAAATCAAAATATCAAACCTCGTTTTCACAAAAATTTTGAAATAAAAAACCATTTATAACTTTTGTGAAACCATTTTTTTTTTTTTTAAATGTTTGTAATGTCATAATTTCTGTGTGAACCAATTCTGACAAACCTATTTATATTCTCTGTTGAAACCACTGGCAGTTTATGTTTAAACAACCCTGTAACACTAATATTGTTTCTGTGAAAACCATCCAGTAGAATTTCTGTAAAAAAAATGTTTTTACAGTTTTTGTTAAAACCACTTATTTCAATAAAACAAATTTAAGGTTTGAAGTGGAAAGTAATTGTAGCTTCAGTGTAGTTTTGTTTTGCTGATTCTTTTATGAATGTGGTTTCTCATAATGACTGCTGTGATTGAACACCTCAGATGTTCCAATAAGATTCTATTAAATATTTCAACACTCGGTTATTTTGACAATTCACCAATATACCAATCAGATGCTCTGGAATATTCATGACATTAAGTAGAGGGCCAATCAGATGTGTACTTTCAATATTTATTGTGACCTCCAACCTACCTGTGTATTGGAATCTGGTACATTGTGCTAGCATATATTTCAATACCAAGCTAACCAGATATTGTCCCAAAGTAAGCTGCTGCTGCCCTGGTATCTAAGACTTTTATTCCGTCATGTTTTATGTGATCTTTAGCCATTAACCTCTGTAGCTGTTTACATTCCACTATATTTATTTGTGACCTTGCATGAGCAAACATCCAGAAGGTTTTGAATTCTGTACGACCCAAGAACTACAAGTACATAACATCTGTCTGATATTCCCCTAACCTCTTAATTTTAGTTACGATATTGGAAGTCAAGTGAAGGTCGCCATAAGTGGAAGGAAGTGGATGTAGTCGTGGAGACAGGAGAGGGCTACCAGTTACCGGACGTGCGGGCGGCCATTGATGGACTTCCTGCCTACACTGCCCTGCGTGCCCAGGTGGCTGTCATGAATGGGCATTATACTGGCATGCCAAGTCAGACCATCGACTTCAAAACACCAGAGGGAGGTAATCAGGACAACTGTTCAAACCATTTTTCACATACAGATATATACAACTTTTGATTCACATACATAGAAAACAAACATCAATTGTTTATGTTCATAAAAACAATAATCGTTACACAAGGTAATCATTTGTTGATTGAACTTTTTAAGCAAGAAAATTTAATGATGATTTTCCTAACAGCTTGCTGCCAATAAATAATGTATAATTGTTGATAAGAATAGGAATTGTCTGTGATATGTAGTCTTTCTGTCTGGGCCGAACCAAAAAGTGAAAATCTAAACGACAGGTAAAGTGATTATATCCCCTAGTTTGTTTGAAAGTTTAAAAACACGTACTCTGGAATGTCTTGAAATTTACTTAAAGATGGCACATTTTGAAATATCAAAGATCTTTGAAAGTACATGTCATAAGTTTTAGATGTCTTTCCTGATTTGATTGCATTAATAGGATGCAGATTTAATTTCCATTGTTGCTGATTCTGTCAGATGTTGGAACCTGCATGTATAATTATTTAGATTTTTTTTATCTGTTTTTCATAACGGTACATCTGCCTGTGTTGTGAATTGATTATAATGTCATAAATGACACTGTGAAGAATTAAGAACAGAGTTGGTATTTAGTTACATTATTCTGCCAGGCTTCCCAGAATCTGTTTTCTTTGACAGAATCAGTTTCTCTGTAGCTAACAAACCAAAATCAAATTCACATGACAGACAACCGTTTCAAATTCTGCAAACTTGATGGCACATAGTTTAATTCATGTCGCAGACTCCGCCATTCAATTAGCCTAAAATAAAATAAATCGTATTGAATTGCCTCGCTTGGCTTTGACAGACGGGGCTGGTCAGAACGTGTGGCATCGTTGTCCCAGACACCTTAATGAGGACACAGTGATTTATATTTATCGAGACACAGCAAGCGCCGAAATGTGGCAATATGTGAAAAAACTCGTGCAGCCTGCCAATGGCATTGAACTGATTTAAGGAATGGAGTTAGTTACTCATCATTACTTTTTTTTATTTTTTTTCACAGTGCCAGGTCCTGTGCGGAAACTACATGTGGAAAAACGTGGCAAAGATTATATTCTTTTAAAATGGCTACCACCAGATGAACCAAATGGCATCTTGAAAGGATATGACATAGGCTACCAGCCGGGTAGGTATCTTCAAATGCAATTACAACACTGATACATGTTGCCTTGTTTTATATTCGAGTAAGATTTACTGTAAAGTGGTTATTTTCACAAGGATGATATTTTTCGCTTTTTCGAGGGCATATACATGATTGTGAACATTTGATTGTGTAATCATATGACACATGTGGCAAAATATAAAAATATCATCACTGTTTTAACAAAATAAAAGTGTACAATGTCAGTTTAAATTGATCTAAACAATGCATCTTTGATTCTTGGTAAAATTTAAAAAGTCAAAATTTAAGATGAAATAGTTCAAGGACATTTCATGTTCAGTCTGACAAGGTTCCCCTTCTCTGCTCAGACTCCTGCTTTAAGCTGAAGTAACATATTTAATTGAACCGGGACTGCCAGGATTACAGTAAATAATGTATATAATCAAACAAAATAGTTCAAATTTGATTTTGAAATCGGTTTTGAAAACACTCTAAAAAGCCTTAAAGGAACAAACATTTGGCTTTTAATACCAAATTAACGTTTAAAGATACACTTCTAGGCTCGTGTAAACATGAGATCCTGAGGTTCTTTCATTCTATTTTGTGGTAGTCCCTTGAGAAATTGGAAGTATTTGTACTACAATATGAAACAAAGTTTGAACATGTAATGATCTAAATGCTTTTAAGTGAAAATGGTTTGATTTGGCTGGCGTTGTCCCCAGTGACAGACTTCGAGACTCACTTGTCTGTGTGACTGTGTGGTTCATGAGCCGGGTGTGATTGACCTGCACTGTATTACTGTATCCGCGATATACACAGGGATCACAACCTTATTGAATTAGGCGCTTTCATTTGGCATACCAGGATTGCGTCCTTAAAGCTGTAACAAAACCAATGAATATAAGAGGTATAATTTAGGCTGATGTTGCTTCACCGATGCGGCGCCACAATCTTCCTGGATGAATAATTCATTGCTACGCAATCAGATGTTTTCTCACGACCGTTAACTTTCAACTTTCTTTGGTGGTTGTGGCAAATTTGATTTAGACCTGTTAAAAAGGTGGGGGCACATGACTCTGTGATGTATGTACGGTTACAAGCCCACACTTTTGTTTACTCAAACCGTTCTCTTTTTTCCTTCTTTTTATCACTAGTGATCGGCGCTAAGTATGGACCAGTTAAGTCCCTGAAACCACAGATCACAAACCCGTCAGTTTTAGGGGCCCGCATCCGGGGCCTGCAAACCAATCACAATTATAGGTTCTATGTTTGGGCTCGGACAAAGACTGGGAGAGGTTCACCCGTCTTCATGGAGGTGAAAACAGCCGATGATTCTAGTAAGTGTTATTATCTAGCATGGAAGTAAATAAACATTGTAGCATTCCACTGCCTCTTTTTATCTGTCAGCTTGTCTTTGTTTTTGTTATATTTTCCTTTTTGTCACTGTCTGAGATTGTTATTCAAAGATTAAGATAATCTGCATTGTTTCTTGGATTTTAATTTAACTTTTTTTTTTATCTGACATTGATTTCTCCTATGCTATGACATAAAAAACAGATATGTAGTTGCAAACACTTTTATTGTCCAATAATGATCAAGAATTTTGTTTTACAATTTAACGAAAAAGACATTCAAATTCAAATTTTTCGTTGTCTGCATAACAACACTACTGTAGTTGATGATGTCATAATATCGATGATGTTATCGAATTTACTGAACATTGCCGGTACCAAAGCCTGTTGTGATTTTTGAGACAGTTAATCTGGACTGGTGATCAAGGCCTCGTTACAATTGAGACGTCATAATCATTGCTGGCCAATACTGGCTGTTGGCTCTTCCATTTATTGAAAGTCTTCCATAAATTTCATTAAGAAATATGAAATATGAATAACAATCTTATGTCGTAACGCCGATGCACATTAGTCCATTTTTCTGCAAACCTATCGAGAGTTATAGGACTATTAAACAATAAACTCTGATGAAGAGAATACAGTTTATAACTTAATTGTAAACTACATAGAAATAAGAGCCTCCCAAACATTACTTTATGAGTGTGAAACATTGTAAACTGTTGTAAGGTAAACCTAATCAGTAATCAATATAAAACCAAAACAATCGACTCAATTCTGGTGACATTTGAATTGCATTATAACTGATCACTTATATCTTAATCATACATGTATATAACAGTCGAATCTTCTCCAATACCACTCGATCCTGCTCCTACATAATCCGAGCACTTTGTTGTATCCGGATTCCTTATTTGGATTGGACAATTTAAATGTAGTGCCCCAACTTTTGTGAAAATCATCCACACATTCTCAGACAGTGATGTATCATGGTGCCACGCTTATGAAATATTGAAATGCTAGCTAGGTAGATATTTTTGTTTGAAATATCTTTGTTTTAAGGGTGTATGAAATATTAACAAGCTCATTATTACATATGTAAAAGTAGGACATTATGTAATAAGCTTACAAATGCTTCCTTGCCAGCCTTTCAAATTTTCAGTGGAGAAGCCAATTATGACAAAAATCTAAACAGTCTAACAAAATAACACAAACTAACAAAATATTACTGTGTAATGCCAATTAAAGTTCTATAAAGTGAAAAAGTTAACTATTAGCAAAAATAATAAAAAGATCATGTTATTATTACTGATCTTTTTTATACCTTATAGAAGTGACAGCAGAGGAGTATGTAAATTCCTATATTATGAAATCTGTGTACATTCAATTATGGTTATTTCAAAAGTCAAATATGGAGACGACATATCAGGTCACCATCTAATTACAGTAGGGGGACTTGGCAAGGATGATCATTTGTCAGTAGAAATCAATAGGCTTGAAACTGCTTCCCACTATGTTTTTTTTCTGTTTTGCCAATCATTTTGATTATTTCAACTTTTTTCTCTGTTCTAAAACTAAAAACATGAATTACCTGAATTAGACAAAAATACTTATTAAAGTATCAAAGGTCTGTTATTATATTGAACTTGTGAGATTGCTGGGAAGAATACATGTTCACAGCCAGTTAAACTTACTAAATATTTACATGTAGTTACACATGTTGCAAATTGATAATTAATGATTTCTAAATGTTGCAGGGTTTTCTCATTTTAAAAGCAGTTTTTGGAATAACTTTTATATGTCCTGATGTAGTTGAAAAGTCAGTTAGATTATCGGTGGATAAAAGGAGTAACATTGTGAAATGATGACAAGATGTTCTTAAGGGAATAAATCTCCCACAATTCACAGTATCATGTGTAAGTTAGTACATATCCTTAAGGGAGATAACTCTAACACATATCACATGTATAATGTGTGAGGTAGTATATAACCTTATGAGGGATAACTCGAACGCATATCACATGTATTATGTGTAAGGTAGTATATAACCTTATGGGGGATAACTCTAACACATATCACATGTATAATGTGTAAGGTAGTATATAACCTTATGGGGGATAACTCTAACACACATATCACAAAGGGAGATAATGCTCACACAAATCACAGGTATTCTGTGTAAGGTAGCATATTACCTGAATAACAAATTATACAAGTTTCGATAAAATTTCATAAAGACCAGTTTGCCCCTGCCTCAACCTTGTATCAGAATGTTTTGACAAGATAATTTAAATTAAAGATGCAGAAACTTGCATTATTTCCTAACTTCCACTGCAAATAAAAAGTATTTGTGAGTATAAGCTATTTTATAAAGTAGAAGGATCCTTTTAGATGTCACATATATATTTTCTTAAGAACTTCCCAGCAATTCTCATTATAGAATATATTTATCATTCATTGAATTGCATGCTAATTCAGATTCAATAATCCTCATGAATATTCCTGAATTGCTTGCAATTGATTGTTCCTTGACAAAAGAAGTCCAGGTAAGACCTTGTATTCCTCATACATACAGAATTGTGTAACAAGTTTTTGTTGAGTTAATCAGCAACACAATATTTACATAATAAATATATTACTTAATCTCATAATTCTTTATCATCATTATGCAAATGAAATCAGTCATTATGCAAATGATGTGAATTATTATGCAAATTACATCATTATTATGCAAATGTCATGGATGATTTGTTGTGGGCAGTACTTGTTATCAAAGCATCTTCGTCAACATTCTGGAGTGCCATGGTACTGAGGTTGTAAAAGTTGTGGTTGCTATGTGAAAACCAAGTGTCATTCCAGTCATTTAAACAACAGACCTTGGTGTGTACTTTATCAGTTTTTAATATAGTTACTCCCTGTTTGGTTCAAGGTCACTTTATTCAGGTTGTTAAAGGTAAGAGCTCAGTAAATGTTATGGACTGTTCTCATCCATCTGTACTATATCTGTGCCTTTATCAGTGAATCTCATAACTTTCCAGTTTCATATAAATATGCAAACAGGCCTTTACTTCATTTCAAACTATTGTTGTTGGCCTGATATTTCTGAAGTCTGAAGTGGTCATTACTAAAAATCTCTTCACAAACTTGAAATTTTGTCATGTCATTTTCAATACTTTTGATGGTCTTTATAATATGGAACACTTTTTTATGAAAGATTTGATGTTTAAGAAAATCATTTTCCCACCAGAGAAACAGAAATCTTTTACAGTACATTTCTGAAATAGAGTGATGGGAAATTTGATCCTGAAAAGTATTCAATTTTGTCAGGACCACCATTTTGAATCAATTTATTACAAATGCACTTTAACATCCTTCTAAAATCAACTTTTTCCTGATTAAAAGGAAGAAATAATTTGCTTTTATAAATGACAATGAAATGGATTCTTTAGCTGGAAAACCAAACTGGTATAGTTATAACTGTGGAATATGATTGTTTTGGAATACAATGTATGGGTAAATGGTATAGGGAATACAATGTCTGGGTAAATGGTATAGGGAATACAATGGCTGGGTAAATGGTATAGGGAATACAATGGCTGGGTAAATTGTATAGGGAATACAATGTCTGGGTAAATGGTATAGGGAATACAATGTCTGGGTAAATGGTATAGGGAATACAATGTCTGGGTATAAATGGTATAGGGAATACAATGTCTGGGTAAATGGTATAGGGAACACAATGTCTGGGTAAATGGTATAGGGAATACAATGTCTGGGTATAAATGGTATAGGGAATACAATGTCTGGGTATAAATGGTATAGGTTTTACAATGTCTGGGTAAATGGTATAGGGAATACTATGTCTGGGTAAATGGTATAGGGATTACAATGTCTGGGTAAATGGTATAGGGAATACAATGTCTGGGTAAATGGTATAGGGAATACAATGTCTGGGTAAATGGTATAGGGAATACAATGTCTGGGTAAATGGTATAGGGAATACAATGTCTGGGTAAATGGTATAGGGAATACAATGTCTGGGTAAATGGTATAGGGAATACAATGTCTGGGTAAATGGTATAGGGAATACAATGTCTGGGTAAATGGTATAGGGAATACAATGTCTGGGTAAATGGTATAGGGAATACAATGTCTGGGTAAATGGTATAGGGAATACAATGTCTGGGTAAATGGTATAGGGAATACAATGTCTGGGTAAATGGTATAGGGAATACAATGTCTGGGTAAATGGTATAGGGAATACAATGTCTGGGTAAATGGTATAGGGAATACAATGTCTGGGTAAATGGTATAGGGAATACAATGTCTGGGTAAATGGTATAGGGAATACAATGTCTGGGTAAATGGTATAGGGAATACAATGTCTGGGTAAATGGTAAAGGTTTTACAATGTCTGGGTAAATGGTATAGGGAATACAATGTCTGGGTAAATGGTATAGGTTTTACAGTCCACTACAACATTTGGGTAACAGGGTAACCTGAGTCATTGGACTACAGTGTCGAGGTAATTGATAAAGTGTTAAATCTTATCTCTGGTTTACATTGTCAAAGTAACTCGGGTATTATAAGTTCTAAGTGTTATTGTCAAAGTAACTCAGGTATCGTTCCAAGTCTTATACAGTGTCATAGTAACTCGGGTATATATAGTTCCAAGTCTTATACAGTGTCAAAGTAACTCAGGTATAGTCCCAAGTCTTATACAGTGTCAAAGTAACTCAGGTATAGAACCAAGTCTTATACAGGGCCAAAGTAACTCAGGTATAGTTCCATGTCTTATACAGTGTCAAAGTAACTCAGGTATAGAACCAAGTCTTATACAGGGTCAAAGTAACTCAGGCATAGTTCCAAGTCTTATACAGGGTCAAAGTAACTCAGGTATAGTTCCATGTCTTATACAGTGTCAAAGTAACTCAGGTATAGTACCAAGTCTTATACAGGGTCAAAGTAACTCAGGTAGAGTTCCATGT